CATGGGGACTGTCTACAATGCTCAGATGATCGTAACTCCCATATCGTTACATGGACTTAGCATAGTGATAAAACGATAGTAACTCCCATACATTTATATAGACTTATCACATTACTACGATGGTCGTAACACCCATACTTTCATGGGGACTGTCTACAATGCTCAGATGATCGTAACTCCCATATCGTTACATGGACTTAGCATAGTGATAAAACGATAGTAACTCCCATACATTTATGTAGACTTATCACATTACTACGATGGTCGTAACACCCATACTTTCATGCGGACTGACTGCAATGCTCAGATGATCGTAACTCCCATACATTTATATAGACTTATCACATTACTACGATGGTCGTAACACCCATACTTTCATGGGGACTGTCTACAATGCTCAGATGATCGTAACTCCCATATCGTTACATGGACTTAGCATAGTGATAAAACGATAGTAACTCCCATACATTTATATAGACTTATCACATTACTACGATGGTCGTAACACCCATACTTTCATGGGGACTGTCTACAATGCTCAGATGATCGTAACTCCCATATCGTTACATGGACTTAGCATAGTGATAAAACGATAGTAACTCCCATACCTTTATATAGACTTACCACATTACTACGATGATCGTAACTCTCATACTTTTACATAGACTTGCCACAGTCACCTGAGTGCTAAGATTCTAGCTCAGTACCTCCTGGCATCTTACTGCTTTTATAAACCTCCAGTGACAGGATCTTATTATTCTCTAGTTGGGTTAAATCTCAAAAACACGGATGTGATGATAGAAATTTATTTTGCATTTGATCACAATGTAATGAAATGTAACATCAAATGACAAGTGCTTTCTTTACATTCCCGCGGATCCATCATGCAACCTTCGTATGTGTAGCCCAGTGAGTGTACCACTAGGCTACAGAGGCAATGCTTTTAAGAATATCTTTTTCAAGTACCAAGTAAACCAGCGACAGATATTTTACGCCAGTTAATGGAAAGTATGTTTGAAACATAAATTTTTTGATAAATGTTGTTTTAAGTGGTTTTTTTAGGCTTATAACACTTACCCTCAGGTTTTTATAAGATTTAAAACCCATGGATACGGGTTTTGAATCTCATAAAAGCCCTCTGAGGTGTTTTATCCTACACATAAGATTTTACAGACACATGGGCTGTCATGAACTAAGTGCACCAAATTGAACTTCAATGTATACCAACTTTAAGATGGCGTCTAAAATCATGGTGTGCAATCTTGTCTAGGGTATTGCAAGTCATCTTGATGTAATATAAATGTTAGATACAGTACTTTGTTTTTGTGATTGAAATGTCTTTTCCTGTCTTGCTAGTTCTGTTGATGTCTATTGAGCTGTATATATTGTTCAGTTGGCTAGGTCATAAGGCTATGTTCCTACTGTTACTTGCATACTCTCATCATTGGTTGCAGCATTGTTGGTGCCAGTGCCTACGTGGTGTCATTAGTGGGAGATGTGATGCATTGTCAGTCAATCTGGACCCTCTGTCCGCTGGGACACTTCCTCAGCAGGGATTAATGCAACTAGTCTTGCTTTCATTTCATCCTGACACACCCATGAAGTCCCCTTAGACTCTTCCTCTCTGGGGTTTGGAATCAGACCATTGTGTTCAGCGGGGATGATACCACCTCATTGAACCTGTATTTATGTTTTTGGTGGGCTAGTCCTTCCAGTATTTCTATGACTTGGTATTGATTCACTGCTGTCCCTGGAAGAAGTAGGACACTAGAATGTTTAATTCAAGCTGGGTGGCGAGTGTATCTAATGGTGGGTAATTGGATGTGGTCCCCCCGAGATAGGTGATGGCGCCTCTGTACTGTAAAGTGCTGTGCAGGTTGATACAGTGTTAATTTCACACTGATACAAAAACATACTTATGTTAAAGGTAGTTTGCTTTCGCTATTGTGAAAAGTCTAAGTTTAATCCAATTCAGGACAGCGCTGTACGCTTTTTTTACGAACTGAGTGGGTTTTGCAATCTGGTACCATCTTTTCTTCCCCACGGACAGTCTGCTAGAATACACAAATCTGTATCATGGCTGAATGTGTAAAGATCAAACATCTTTTTGATGTTTTCAATTTGTGACAGAAGACTTGTTTTTCTCAAATGAAGTGCAAATGAAACGTATGAGACCAATGCATGATCCAGCTTGATCTAGCTGATCCAGCTCAGGAAACAGTGGTGACAGGGTACCTGATAAAGACGCATCTGCATCTGAATTGCAGTTGTATTGTGCAGCCTGGATGGCTCCCAAAGGACACAAATTGCACTTCTCTCACCCGTTTCAAGATGGCCGCCAGGTGGCGTCTGCTCAACAGTCTGACATTCCACATTGACCTAAGGAAGGGTACATTTCCCCTGTGATCAGCACCGGCTGTGTATCAACATTGTTAGTATCAAATAGATGATAAACGTAAGCCTGACATTCCTACTATAACCCCCACTGGTCCCTCCTGCCCGAGCATTGGGACAACCTCCTACATTGTGTCTGTAATATCGTACAGTCAGATCAAGAGGTTTTGTAGCAACAGTGAAAAACTACACAAAATTCAGCATAAATCTCAAGTTCCTAGTTTTCCTGGTTACAGAGAAATGAATATCACAGGTGATTCTTGTAAGCACATGCTGTTTAGTGAGTGATTCTGAAGAACAGGGCTTATTGATGTCTTGTTAATGTCTCAGCTGACAGATCTGTATGAAGTTGATCTATAGATTCTGAAAAGATGTATCCAGTTGTTTCTTGATTTTTTGCTGTTGTGAAAAAACGGATAGGTTTCTGATGAATCAACAGGGAAATTGCTGTGAATTTCTGGTGTGTGTAATTGTCATAACCAGTCTGCTTACAGAGATAAAGCCTGCATACCAGACGTGTAATACGAGATCATATACTAACCTGTATCATATTCATCTGTTATGTCCCAGTCACACCTCACACATTCATATTGATATGATTTCACACTTTTTGCCATACTTTATTAATAATTCTTCCTCCATCTAATGCTGTTTGCTTCTAACTAACTTGCCCCTAAGGAATGGTTTAGTAAATAGGGGAAACAGATGCCCTGATTAACTCCGAGACTCAATTACCCACGCTTAGATTTACCCAGCGCTTTGTAGTGAAGCTTCCTCCACGTATTCTGCTGTAACACTTCTTTCGAATTGTTCTCTTGGGGCAAAATCTCATCACATGATAAAAAACACTCTCCTGCTTTACTTGGTGGCTTCCGAGAGCTTTGATATGACAGAAAAGAAGGCCGCTATGTGATCACACTTTTACTTTGGCAGTGGGCGATGGTGTCATTGCACAATGTAGTTGCTATGTTGACGCCAACAGTCTTGTCACCAGATAAGGCAAAATATAAATTGGATTTCAGTCAGATAAACCTAATTTGTATCCAAACAGTATCAAGTGTTTTAAGATTCTGTTTGTTGAAGTGGAAAGGTGCGAATGGGAGTTCGTGCCATGCAGTCGCAAAGTACATTGGTGCTTTTAAAATGTTGCTTATTTTGGAACATCTCTCAATTGTTACAATTTGTTTTTGCTTCTGTCTCTTGTTTTTTATTCTAAATTGATGTACAACTGTAATAAAAGCAATTTTAACCAACGAGCAGTAGACTGTGTGAAATCAGAGCCTCTGTACAGCTTACGGCTAACACATATGCTGATGGGTACCACATTAAATGATTCTTCATAGAATTAACTTGCTTTCACTGAATATGCTGCTCATCTTGTCTACACGAATATTTCAATAATTCATGGAATTCTCTTTACTTGAGCATATAAAATCGAGAAGTGATTTCCTTATACAATCAGTCACGTCACCAACATGAACAATTCATGACATGTGACTTTATTTGGATTCATGGATACCTTAGCATTCTCATCAGCGAGGATGTGTAGTGTCTTTCATGGATCTGTTGTGAAGGTTAAACATTGTTGGAGTTGAAAAGATAAAGAATAAGGGGATGGAAGATAAAAAGCTAGAAAAAAGAATTCAATAGCTTTCTTAGAGATTTATGGGAGATGTATTTGATCCGCTCTATTCTGATTCCATCTTTTTCATCTCTACCAATATCCTCTGATGAAGGTGACATTTCGTTAGTTGACCAAGTTCAAAGTTGCAATCTTGATCGTTATAATTTGATTACAGAGTCTTGATCTGCGTTGATGTTTTCAGTATGGCAGCCACGTAATTCCATTTACTGACAGTGATTGTAGGCGACACCATAACCCATTAGTGTCTCTGTGTGCTGCCAGTGCTGCTGCATCTATTGCTGTATAGAGTTGATAATCGCAATCTGTCTTTGTTCCGTGATCAACATAATCATCACTTGTTTATCTACAGATTTTGTTGTCTTTGAAGGCTGCGTTACACACACGCTGAGCTTTGAACGAAGTAATACAAATGGGGTAATCATGCTTTTGATGCTGGCAGTCATATATCGTTGATATCTGTGGAGAAAATTTGCACTTGTCACATAAATAAGATAGAAAGTAGAAGAAGATGGCAGCTAGCTTAAATAGCTGTGGATCATGGGAAGATGGATGGTGGTTCATTGATTGAATGTTTTGCGACTCACATTTGTCTCTTTATTACACTGAAATGGAATCGCTTTGTCTGTTATCTGTTGTGTGAGCTTCTTGGAACACAAAAAATGCAGATATACATGAATTGAAATGCTCAAAGTTAATAATTATCCTAATGTTTCAGGGGATTTTAGTTGGGTGTTTTTGTACATTTCATACACGCTGAAAAGCAAACTCTTTGTTATTGTCCTCATGTGCACAGATAATCTGATTGCATTTGTCAGAAAGGAGGACTTATGGATCGATCATGCTGGTTCTGATTTTGCTTTGTTTTGTAATAACATGATGCTATATATGCTGTGTATAATTTAGGCTCATTTTAAATTTTTATTTAAGGATTGAGTTGAATTATTTCCTTTTTTGTTGCCAGGTGAAGCTAGACCAGACAAACAACACAAATGCCCCTTCCAGGGTCATTCACATCCGCAGTCTGCCCAACGATGTTGCGGAAACCGACATTGTTCAGCTCGGATTACCATTTGGAGAGATGAGCAAAGTCCTACTGCTCAAACAGAAAAATCAGGTAAGAGGAGAGCGCTGTTACAGTAATGGACAGACACAAGCACAACAATCCAGTTGCTCTGATGTTGGTGGGAACCTTTGGTAGATGACAGTGTTTATAATTCGGGATTAAAGAGGTCTTTGCCATCACTTTATTACAAGGGTAGTCGAAGGTGACACAAGCTGCTGTGCAGAGTTGCATCCCTTTGATGTGCCAGGAACTGCCCGATTCTTGTGCACATTGTTGTCACAAGTTGGGGTTTCTGAAAAATGGTAAACGTCTTTGACCTGCATCATTTTTGGCTTTCCTCCCCATGATCTACCCATCCCCTCCGGACCACTGCTTCCTCCCTGTGTTTGTGAGCAAGGGGTCAGTGTTTGAAAGAAAATCAAGAGGTCCTGACATAATCCTTTTGTTGAAAAATAAGAATCTGCACATTTAAGGACTCTCCAGTGGTCACAAGGCCCCCAAATCCCTTAATTTCCAACCCCTTTCAAGTGATGATGACTTGCTATGTGATTGCTCCCCATCGTTAACATGTCCTGTAAAATGTATCCTTCCTTGACAATTCATGGCTAGAAGTATTTGGACAATAAAACTAACTGACGGACAGACGGACATTATTAATGATGGCAGCCATTGACAATGTATGATGTTTGGTTACACACACACAGGACCAAGATAGAGGACACTCCGAGGAATGGACCTTGGTAGAGGACTGTTGATAGACTTGATAAATAGACTTGATAAATGAAAGAATCTTCATTTCAAAGAAGTTTGGATCAGCTGGGAGACATGAGAAGCTGTTGTGTTATTATGAACTTGTAATTGTTTCCAATCATGTACACTTGCCTAGCAGGTGAAAAACATGTTCGCCAATGATTGGACAGAAACGCTTCCTACTCCAGGATGCACCATGGGGAGTATTCCGTTTGAGACTTAAGAGAAAATAGCTGTGGTGTCATACATGGAACATTTTCAAAAAAGTTTAAATTTTTGATACGCCAGTGATTTTTTTTTTTCATTGCAAATTTAATTCATTAATTCGGCTCAGTAATATGTATGCATGGAATTAAAACGATTTTCTGGATTCTGGTTTCAAATACACCCCCAAACAACCTTTGCTGGTCAGGGTGGTCTGACTTGGGGACTTGGTTGATTGCATACCGTATTCGACGTAATAAGCGCCCCGCTCTAATAAGCGCCCACTGCGAGATTTGCTAATATATTGGCTTGTGAACAATCCCATTTAGCACCCCTTCCGACCCCTCTTAGCATATAATACGCACTAGTGTGATATATGCACCCTTTATTATTGGCAATTAAATTCTGGAAAAATATATCTGTCGTTTCAGGCTGTCAGCGTAAACCACGAAATTTATCTTTCAACTCAGTTTTTTCACCAAAATAATATTCTACTAAGAGCCACCTATTTCTAGTTTTGAGAGCGCCCTGGGTGTTTATCACGTCGAATATGGTATCATCATACCCGACGGTGTGGATCATTGTTCACAATATCAATCACTGGATTGTCTGGTTCTATTTACCGGCTGCCGTCCAAAAGCTGGAATACAGCAGTGTTAAATAACAAACGAACAAAAAACATTCTTGGTTCAAGTCAGTTGAATGGTCATTAACTATCCCCCAGAACACTGCGTCATAAATCCTTGTGCGAATGATCTGGCAGCTCAATATTTCCAGGTTTGTCTTTGTACAAGATGTAATCGTGCCACCGAGGATTTCATGACATGACATAATTAATTTAAAAAGACATCTGTGCAGTAGCCTGTATGATCACCTCAAACGGGACACGGGCAAGAAGTGTGCTCTCAGCTGCAGTAGGGACAACATGAGATATGCAAGAACAGACAACTATAAATTGAAGTTTAGAAATGATGAAAGAAAGATAGTCATCTAGCACTTGACGCAGAATCAATCTGCTCCGACATCAAAGATGCAGAATTGGCGATTAGCATTTATCAATATCTTTGGCCAGAGTGCCCGAACATGACCTTGAATTCATTGAAAGATCAAGGCTGATATAAAATCCTTTATGGTGCTTGATCCTTAAGTGCTGCCCCCTGTTTCAGCCATGTGGGCATTGATGTAGCATTCATGTAGCATTGTCAAGCAGTCACAGTTGTCATTCATCTTGTATTGTACTACCATTACCTTCAACATTTGTATGGTATTTGATATTAATGTGGTATTTTGCTAGATCTACTATCAATAAATGTCTTTGAAATTTACTTGGACCATAATCGTCCCGATTTTGGCATTACGTAGGGACTCAATTGTCATCAAAATGATAAATAGGTAAGATCACTATTACCTTGATTTCTTCCTTTGAAGATCTTGGTTAGAATTGATATTCAGCAACCCATGCTCGTCTTCGGGTGGTCAGACTCAGGGCATGTCATTGTTTCCCATTTGCATAAATCGGTGCTCATGATGTCAATCACTGGACCGTCTGACCCAGACTTGATTATTTACAGACCGCCATCACATAGCTGAAATATTGTCAAGTGCAGCCAATATGAAGAATGCAAACTTTATTTCCAGAGTAGATTTTTCAACAATCTATGATATTGGTATGGGTTATTTCTGAGGTTTTGATTGTATCTTAACCATGCTTAATTTTTTTCATAATATAATTGGTTTGTTGAAGTTAAAAGCTGATTTTTAGTGCCAAAGTGTGTTTCTGTGAGTTGCCAAGATACACAGTCACCAGGGCAGCAAAATCACTAGCATGGAATGAGAAGGCAATGAGAGACTTATCTGTGTTGTGTTCATGTTGTATGAGGTTGTTATCAGGGCTCTGCAGGCCCTAAAGATTGCAGGAGAGATATCGCTCAGACATTCACTCAGCCAGGAAATTGTTTCCTCCAGGTCCTCCTCCAGCTCTTGTGGAGGCAGTGGACTCCATGGAACATATGTGTACAAGTATGTTCATGGTGGCTGACACTCCTGCACCATCACTTAGGAATATCTGCAGTGTTTTTCCCTTCAATGCTTAGCAAGTCTAGATGATTGAAAGAAGCAGTTCTATAATAGATGGAAGGTTGAGGTAGAGAAAAAACTTTTGTTATGGGATTAAATATTTTGGTTAATTACTTGAGAATAAAATATTTCATGGACTAACTGTTTGTCTAGGAAATAGAATGAGGTAGTTGGAGGGCGAAACTAGAATATGTACAAGCTGTACAAGATGGCTGGTTGAGGTGGTTGAGTTTCTTATAATGTGGCTAGAACAGTTGTTCTGCTTCAAGTGAATTTGCTCAGCCCTTTTTCCCTAAAGAAGAGCTCATGATATCAATCACTGGATTGTCTGGTCAAGACTCGATTACCGTATTCGACATAATAAGCTCCCAGGGCGCTCTCAAAATTAGAAGTAGGGGGCTCTTATTAGAATATTATTTCAGTGAAAAACAACAGAGTTGAAAGATCGTAAATTTCATGGTTTATGCTGACAGCCTAAAATGTTTATATAAGACAGATATATTTTTCCAGAATTTAATTTCCCATGATAAAGGATACATATAAAACATGTATTATATGAGAATAAATAAGTCTTGTGCACATTGATCAATTGGAAGGGGTGCTAATTGGGATTGTTCACTAGCCAATTTATCAGCAAATATCGCCGTGGGTGTTTATTAGAGCGGGGCGCTTATTCTGTCGAATACGGTATTTACAGACCGCCGCCATATTGCTGGAATATTGAGTGCAGCGTAAAACAACAAACCAAACCAAACCAAACCAAACCAAAACCCTAAAGAAGCAGTTCGATTATCATGTCGTTCTTCCTGAGTTTGATCCCCAACATATGGCTCCTATGTGACTCGTCCCATATTATTTTCTTACAAATGTTATAATCAACATTAAGCACCAAAGTCTCCTTCTCACTCCATATGAGACCCGTAAGGATCCTGGGTAGAACAGGTCTTCAGCAACCCATGCTTGCCGCAAAAAGCGACTATGCTTGTCGTAAGAGGCGACTATAATGGGATCGGATGGTCAGGCCCTCTGACTTGGTTGATGCATGTCATCGTATCCCAATTGCGTAGATCGATGCTCATGATATCAATCACTGGATTGTCTAGTCCAGACTCGATTATTCACAGACCGCCATCATATATCTGGAATATTGCTGAGTGCGGCGTACAAACAAAACAAACACTCCATATGAAATAGAACCACTGTAATTTGAGTCCTCAAGTTAGATGTTTGACATAGAGAATACTTGTGGACTGGGAACAGTAGAGAGTACATGTGTGAACTTAGATGGCACTGATTGTTTGAAGACAAAACTTATTTTACTTCATTCAGTCGTTTGCATTGATGAACTTTGTATTGTTGATTCAGTTCAAGAAATTGACATTGACGAATTTTGCAACTTTAGAATTGGAAAATCCTAGGAACTTTTTTGGAAGGAGATAACAAGGATTGAAGAGCTTGGCCATAGATTGAGGCCAATCCACCTGTAGTTTCGGTGCTAATGATGCCAGTAAAATGCACGTTTTTCCCTGCAACTCTCAATGAAGGTGTTGATAGATGGCAGTGCTAGTTCACAGCAAGTGTCCCCATAGGAAAGAGGTTTAAATGGAAAGAGTGGATTTTCCCACTCATGTGCGGGACAGTTGTCTTGAGTCGATACAGCGATGAAGAAAGAATCTTTTCTTGTGAGAGGGACGAGATTAAGAAGCTATCTGGAACTGACTTGCCGTGTACAATGGTGTATCTGTGAATAGCGTGTAAGCCTTTTGGAGAGGGCCTTTATTGTGTTAGCTTGAGTTGGAGGTTGTCAGGAGGAGATCACAGAGTAATTGACAGACAGCCAACATGTCATTTGAGGCCAGATGCTTGCAAACACGGCTTCCATGATTAATAGTGTGCACGGCTTTTATTTCAGAGTGGAAATATTGTAGTGATGGATTAGGCCCTTATTTGATGAAATGAGGAGAATTGGTCAGTTAGATTTGTTAGAATACTACAATTTAGGGAAATCATGATTATCCTGGTATAATATCATTCTGGTTTCTGTCTCGGAAATACGAGGGAAATGAGATTTTGTACCATGCCAATTTATTTTCCATCTGGTCTACTTTAGCTGTATGTACTTAATCAAAAGCCCTTGCTTGACACGGGAGTCATATTTGTGGAAAGACTCTTTATGAGAGTACATCTCATTTTGGCTTCTAAATAGCCCTCATATTTCTGGTCCAAATATATATGGTTAAATCCTGCAAATTTAATTAAATCTGTTTACATGAAGATATTTTTACCAAATCTTTCTACTGTTTGCAAAACATGGCAAAGTTGGGGAATTGTATTGACGTCTGACAGATTATATATCGTTAGTATCGATCCGACAATTATGATTCTAAATTGCCACATCTTAGAGGCGGCCATGTTGGAGGATAGCGTTCCTCAAAGGTATAGATGTTGTCGTCTCATCCCCCCTGCAAGGTAGAACAGCTTGAATAGCCACAAGGCCTTTCACGTCCGTAACGGTTGGCTCTGCGATTAACTCGATAGCCAAGTTCGCTGTCATTAGTGTCGATTGTTCTTGTAGCGTAGTCTACGGCACTGACCAAACCCTGCGGCCTCAGGATTATCGTCTGGCAATTCACAAAGAGAGTTAATTATTTCATAGGGCTTCTCGACGGCCATGGCCCTATGGCAGGGAAGTGGGGACATTGTTACTGGTGAGGTTTGGGGAAGGATCTAAATCTCCCCTCTCCAGATCTGTTATGATGCTATTTAGCCATGTTAGATTACTGGTCAGAATCTGCGTCTTCCAGAAAACTGGTCATGACCAGTGTCAGTATTGACATAAAACATGGCTTATGTCATTAGTTATGGCAAGTGTCTAGACCAGTAGCTCATGCGAGTGGTGAGATTTGACATACAGCTAATTACAAGAATCAGTGTAAGTCTTGGTACATCTTGATTCACTGGTTTGTGACCGGTCACAACCAGCATTGCTAGATCTCCACCAGCCCCTTGTTACCGACAAGCTCAGTACCAAGCATGTGGACTGTATTCACATATGTATGTGGTCATGTTAACAATTCTACCCAAAAGTTCACATGGGCTCGAAAGGTCTTGACGTTGAATCTGTTTTGAAAAGGCCTTAAAATGGATAAAATGCCTTAAAAATAGTACCCATGAAGATCCGGGGTAGAATAGGTCTTCAGCCACCCACTTGCCGTAAAAGGTAACTATGCTTGTCGTAAGAGGCGGGTGGTCAGGCTCGTTGACTTGGTTGAAGAATGTTATCTATCCCAATTGCGTGGATCGATGCTCATGATGGTTGTTTTTTTGTTTTACGCCGCACTCAGCAATATTCCAGCTGTATGACGGCGGTCTGTAAATAACCGAGTCTGGACCAGACAATCCAGTGATTGACATCACGATATTTTAGCCAAAAGTGATATTTCTAGATGTGTACTTACGACAACAGAAACTTATTTTACTCTTATCAATTTAACTGCGCTATTGGCGATACAATACAGAGAATTTTGAAACCCTGAATAAAGATGCTAATCATGTTGTTTGTTTACAGGCTTTCCTGGAATTCAATGACGAGGGGTCTGCAGCCAACATGGTGTCCTACTACCAGACCACGCCTTCCCAAGTCCGCTTGAAACCATGCTATGTCCAGTTCTCCAACCACAAGGAACTCAGTATCAAGACCGATGCTTCACATGCATACCAGGTGAGTGGTGCTCATTGATTACCATCTTCCTGAAGCAAGGGAGTTAACTGACTATAAAAGTCCAGTTTCCACCCTTGCCGAACTAGGCTGGTATTATGGAGTTACATTTTGGCTGGACTAACGGGTCTATGCACAGACCAATCAAAATCGTGCAAAAAAATCAAAATCCGATTCATAAACTGTAAATGGCTTAAAGTGTCGTTTAACCTAATCATTCACTTGCTCACACACCTGAATTTAGGTTGAAACATTTTGTCACGATGTGGCTGGAAATGTCTAAGCGTGGCATTAAACCTACTTCTCTCACTCGCATACACACAACCCTAAAAATTGGCACCAGTCCTAAAGTCCTTGCCAAACTGCCTAATAGTTATAGATTATAAGGACTAGCAGAAATTTGTCATTATCAAGGGTTTGCCAATATGTTATCATTATAAGGACTAGTGGACTAAAAGTGTTAGTTTCTATCACTGACACACCTGAATTTAGGTTAAAATATGTTATTAAGCTGTGCGAGTTTCTTCCCATACTATGACCTGGTTATGATTGTAGTTCTTTGAAATCTACACCTGAGACTCTGACACCAGATCTCTTCATACGGCCTTGGAAGCTTTAGCTTCAGTTACTGACTCATCCATACATGATCTTTCGGTGTGGCAAGAAAGAACATTAATTTCTATATTAGCTGAAGGGGTAGCTGTATGTGAGAAACATCTGTCCTGAGAAACAAAGCCTTTTGTGTTTAAAGAGGACCCACCTTTGTTGCAATTCAAGATTACATCTCACGTGACTATCATTCCCAAGGCTCTCCTGCTTTCAAGATAAATCACAAATTTAGCTTACTTTATTTCCCCTTTCAGACTTTTATTGTAACCAAAACAAGTCCTAAATATTTTTGGTGGTCTCGCCACCTCAGTAGTAGTTGATTAGTGAGTTTGCACTGCAGGGAACAGTTGCTCTGATAACATCTTGGGGGGAGGTGGTGGAGGGGGGTTGGAGTGGGAGAATAAGTCTTCTCCTTCTCTGCCCACTGTCATTCAGGCGAGGAGATCTTGAAACAAATCCGTCTTTGTCACTTAGAATATGGCTCCCCATACCTGTTCAAAGAAATCTCTTTTTCTTTGCATTTGGGATGTGCCGCTCTGAATTCCTGCCATGTTTATTATCTATGGTGTCTACCGGAGTGTTTCTAAACTACAAAAAGAAGTTAAGACAAGTTTGTAATCGAAATTCTTTGATGCTCAGGTTTCAAGAAGAACATGAAATATATATTGTCTTCATCTCAGCTTACATCATCATTTGTTCTAAATCACCTCGTTTCCATGACAACAAAATGAGATGTCGTGCTATAACTTGCTATAAGTGATGTAAATTGCTTTCACATGTCTGTAACATAAGGAACTTCATAAATTTATTTGGTATCAGCTAGTGCAGTTGTTCCTTGTCATACTAAGTGGATTAGACCCGTGAAACTCCTGGGTAGAATAGGGTCTTCAGCAACCCATGCTTGCCGTAAAAGGCGACTTTGCTTGTCGTAAGAGGCGACTAACGGGATTGGATGGTCAGACTCACTGACTTGGTTGATGCATGTCATCGTATCCCAATTGTGTGGATCGATTCTCTTGATAATAATCACTGGATTGTCTGGTCCAGACTCGATTTTTTACAGTCCGCCGTCTTATAACTGGAATATTGCTGAGTGTGGCGTTAAACAACAAACTAAGTCGATTATATATTGGTTCTGAGGGTACATAGTCTAGTGGTCATTTTAATTGTATGAAACGCCACACTCTGTCTGTAAATGGCGGTCTGTAAATAATCAAGTCTGGACCAGACAATTCACTGATTGATATCATGAGCATCAATCCACACAAATGGAATTCGATGACATGCATATCGCTCACTGGATTGTTTGGTCCAGATTCAATTACTTACAGGCAGCTGTCATATAGTTGGAATATTGCTGAGTGTACTGTTAAATAACAAACAAACAAAAGACGTTGGCACAATGAGTGAAACCTGTCTGAGTGTTCTTCACCATAATATGGCTGAAAGGTTGCCCTGGCTGAGTGAGGCACAACACTGGCACTAGGGCTGGCTTAGACTAAAATCTAGTCTCTGAAATGAACATATCGTACATAAAAAAACCAGTTGTTTAGTTATCTTAATAAAAATATAATAAAAAGGAGCCCAGTGACTCTCTTCATTTTCAGATACTGCAGTGATCTAGACTTGCCAAACATTATAGACTTGCATGGGCTGTATTTGATATATATTTGTATCAGGGTCTGTAAGACAGACTAGGGCTGGCTATCCATAGACATCATAGAGATCGATAATCGCGAACTAAACATTGATAAATTATTGATAAATATCTGAGAAGTAAGTCCAAAAAATAAATCAACATATTTCATGCCACTGGTGCACAGATTGTTTTGTGGACATTTGATATATAACAAAGACAAAGAGCTTTCCATCATTGACAATAGACATTATTGACAATAACATCACAATAGTTTATGTAAGTTATTGTCGATGACAAAAAATTGGTATCATTAATCGTTAATATTTCTTCCCATGGACAATATTTCCAATGATTGATCTTTTTAGCCAGACCTACCTATCACAGTATATAGGGCAGGTCAACATAAGTACAACGTTGTGGACCCGTATCTTATGCATCTGTTTCTTTGAGCCTGTTTCTGCTCTTGGAATAAGTCATATATAAATATTCATGAAGTGTTGGGTTGTAGGGTTCACCATGTAGAACAAGAAATCCATTAATAATGAAAGTAATTGTTATATTGATTTATTAACGTCACACATGAATATATATAGTTCATATGAAGACTCATTTGAAGACTCAGCAAGTTTGCCCAGTGGGGTGAGGTGAGGTGAGGTGAAATTTGGTTTAACGTCGCGTCCAAGATTATTGCACTTATATAGCGACGTGCGTGTGTGTGTGTGTGTGTGTGTGTGTGTGTGTGTGTGTGTGTGTGTGTGTGTGTGTGTGTGTGTGTGTGTGTGTGTGTGTGTGTGTGTGTGTGTGTGTGTGTGTGTGTGTGTGTGTGGCTGCTTGTACTAGTCCACGTGGATTTCTGAGAGGGAGAATAAATCCCTTACACCCTGCTTTGAAGCAAAAAGCCGAGTCATTGAAAATCATGTGATACAACACGTTCACCTCAGCTCAATCAAACTGCTGTTTTCTATCAATTATGAATTTGTATTACTTATTTTACAATGAACAATTGAAACATGTTGGTAAAATAAATTTGCTGTCGCAGTATCACGAGGGGTACATGTGGTTTTATGTGTCCCGTGTTAGGTTTTATACGAGCGGGGCGGTCGGGTAGCCTACTGGTTAAAGCGTTCGCGCGTCATGCAGATGACCCGGGTTTGATTCCCGACATGGGTACAATGTGTGAAGCCCATTTCTGGTATCCCCTGCCTTGATATTGCTGGAATATTGCTAAAAGCGGCGTAAAACCTCACCCACTCACTATTCCAGGAGCCGGAGGCCCCTCTTGATACTGCTACAACTTATATTATACTTAGCCGAGTGTCTCTGGTTGTGATGTGAGTGGACTATTGTTAATAGCAGCATTATCCAGACTAACTCACTGATTTACCCGAGACTTAAAATGTTGATGTTGCAGAACGCTACAGCTCAGGCTGCTTTGCAGGCAGCTCAAGCTGTGATTCACGCCCGCGGCGGCAACAGTGGTGCCTTCCTCGAAACAAATGAGTGTAATCAGACGGTGCTCCGCGTGATCGTTGACAACATCCTGTACCCCATCACTCTCGATGTGCTCCACTCTGTACGTATATCCTCCCTTACACAGGGAATGTTCATTGACATGTCTGTTTGATATCAAAAACGTTTCTGTTGCTGGGCAATCATGATGTACACTGTCTTCAGATTATGATGGGTTGAAATAATTCATAAATTGAAATTTGATTATCGATCATCTAGAGAGTTGTTCTTGCTAATCAAGGTATTAACTCATTTATATATTCAAGACTTTTGCTATCTATCAAAGTATATTAACTGTAGGCCAGGATGCAGATGATGTCTATATGTATCATCTAAGTCTGAAAACCTTCTGTTGATATTCTCTTGCTGATGCATCCACCAGATGACAGCACCAGCCTCCGAGTTTATCACACCAGATACCGATTATACTTGATTTATTTTCAGTTATTCTCTCGATTTGGAAAAGTTCTCAAGATCATCACTTTCACCAAGAACAGTAAGTAAAGCTTTTTTTTTAAATTCACTTTGGAATGTCGAGACTCAACTATTTACAGGTAGCTGTGGGATATGGCTGAAATATTTCTAACAGCGGGGTAAAACCATGTAAATATAGCTTAAACATTACAAACTGTGGTGTTAAATTGTGTGATGTAGCTGAAATATTGCTGACTACAGTGTAACTGCCAAACAAAACACATTTTATAGCTTTAGCACTATCTTTTGAATCTTTGAAAGTTCAGCAGTAACAGACCATTCTGGTTGTGTAAAGAAGGCTCTGTGTGGTTGACATGATTGCTAACAGTTTGTATTTTATCTTTCAGACACCTACCAGGCCTTAATTCAGTTTTCAGACCCCATTTCGGCTAAAGCAGCTAAAGATGTAAGTGTTACAGATAGTCAAGTCAGTTAATGTGAAAATCCAGGAAGAGAATATGGATGGTCAAGGGGAGATAACTGTTATTGGTTTGATTTGATGGTTTTGTAAACATTTTTTCTCCAGTAATTTCATGATTGCATATGATTAGCCTATAAATCAGTCAATGCTGTGCGGACCTATGTATTTTGAAAGGGTCCTTGTATACAAATGGAGCAATTATGACAATGAAGAAAGTAAAAATATCCTTGTAGATCAAGAGGCGACTAATGGCATCGGATGGTCAGGCTCGCTGACTTGGTTTATGCATGTCATTGTATCACAATTGTGTGGATCGATGCTCTTGAAGTCATTCACTGGATTGTCTGGTCCAGATTTGATTATTTTTCAGACCGACGTCATATAGCTGGAATACTGCTGTGTGCATGTTAAACAACAAACAAACAAACATTCTTGTGCCTTACTTTAAGACATAAAAAGGCCGTTAAAAGGTCTTAATTTGGTGGCTCAAATTTTGTATGAATCGTGTACTGACATAGTGCAACTGTTTCTCCAGTCACTGGATGGTCAGAATGTCTACAATGGCTGTGACACACTGAAGATCGACTACTCTCGATTGATGAATCTCAATGTGAAGTACAACAATGACAAGAGCCGAGACTACACACGACCGGAGTTGCCCACGGGAGAAGTGACGTTAGAATCCACCATGCAGCAAAGCATGCTGGGTACGTACAAGGAAAGAGTAGCCGGTTAACACAAGTGTTTAGTTTGTTTGCATGCAACAGCTTTGCATTTTCCTTTAAAAATAAAGGAGAAAAATATTGAAATATTAACATGTTCTTTCCGGAACTGACATTACTGATAAGCTTGCCATTGTTGTGGAGATTCTGTCCGAAGCAAGGTCGAATAGTGAGAAGGGAAGGTCAAGGCATGTAAAAGATGTTTGGATTATTGGCAGTTGCCTCGTATCTGTGCATGAAACATGGACGTGATGACTGGATGGAATATCGTCATGGCAACAGATGTAAAACAGACATTTTCTTCTTTCAGATTACTTTGCTCCCGCCTGTATGTATAGTTCCGATATTCCATACTGTCTCAGATTGTGATTCACTGTGTTCATGTTGAAATCATCTCTCATTGGCTGTGTTTTGAACTTTTCCGTACAAATCAATCCTCAAATATCAACATCTTTTGCATTAAGATATGCCTCCCTCTCCTTCTACCTCTCTGTTCAAACCTTGCATGGTCTCCATTACATTCTGGAATAGGACAGTGGTTTAGCCTTGTGGTTAAAGCTGCTGATGCCGTGTAAAACATTCATTCATTCATTCATTCATTCATTCATTCATGCATTCATGCATTCATACATTCATTCATTCGGGGGCACGGGTGGCCCAGTCGTCTAAGGCGCCGCGATTCGCTGTGCAGAGTTGCGTCCCTTGGGCACGCCAGAAACCTATGATTGTGGGTTGACACGCCGTGATATAACTGAAATACTGTGAAAAGCGGCGTTAAACCCAATTCATTCATTCATTCATTCATTCATTCATTCATTCATTCATTCATTCATTCATCGTGGTTAAATCAGTCGCTCGTTACACCTAATGGGGAGGTGGTATAGCCTAGTGGTTAAAGTGTTCTCTCGTCACGCCAAAGACCAGGGTTCAATTCTCCACATTGGTTCAACACGTGAAGCCCATTTCTGGTGTCCCCCGCCGTGGTATTGCTGGAATATTGCTAAAAGCGGCGTAAAACCAACTCACTCACTCACTCACTCACTCGTCACGCCAAATACCCAGGGGGCCATTTCCAACATGGCCGAAGCATAATCTGGATCTTAGTGAAATTGTAAAAAGCTTACTGACTCTGAAATACACCCTCACTGTGGTGTCTCTTCTGTCCAAGCATGATCACTCAGTCTTGGTAAAATGCTTCGGAAATTGAAATTCTGAAGCTTGCCTCTCTCTTCAAGAGCTGTTCTGGCTGCCAGTGTTGATGTGGTGCAAGTGTATGTGTTAATATTACCCTTCTTTTTAGTGAATACAAAAATCATTTTGGTCGCAAGACGGCATTCTTGTACGTTTTCTCCTACATATGTATAACCATGTTTACATGTTACAGTATATTGCATTTTGTTTGCAATGTATTTAGGCAAGTCTACATTGATGTCTGTACCCTATTATCTCCTCACTAATGCTGTGGTTCTACTGACGTGTTCTGTGTACATACGCTGACATCCACTTACTGCATGCCACTGCTGCTTCACGAGGTTTTAGAGTTGGCATAGTTACCATAGAAACAAGCATATGCCTTGGCAAATAATGGGTACTTCCCCACTCACAAAGCAACTGAAACACAAAATTCTGTTTCGCTAAAAAAATATTCTAAAATTATTAAAATTGTCTTCGTCTCATATTTACAATTCTGTCTCGCTGTTACGAGTCCTAATAATCATGTGAGAAACGCGAGAGGTCATTGTGCACATGGTAACGTGATAAACACCAAATCGTGTTTCTCGCGGCAATATTTCGAGATGATTTGTCATTGTAAGATTTTGGGGGGATTTTTTAGCAGATGAGGTTGAGTTATTTTTTGACATCTGTATTGTGGGGATGGTTATGTATATGAAACATGGCTTTGATTATGTGAGATTTTGATATGTGAATTCTATAAGATGAACCAGTTGCTGTATGTCTCTCCTCCTGCCTCCTCACTCTCCACTGTCCATCTGTCCGTCTCCCAGTCTGTGATACACATTAACCAGTGGACCGTTATTTGCAACTATGTTAGGTGCTCCGGGGGTGATGGCCTCTCCGTTCGCTGCTGCCATGCCGGGCTTGGGAGGTGCCCCCCTAACTGCCTATGGTGCCCCTTCGGCAGCCGCAGCCGCTGCAGGTATGCTCCTCCACGCTTTTCACACTAACATCTCATTGGTTGCCTCAGTTGTTGTCAGCCCTGTGGTGTATCCCTTGTGGTGTATATATGTTTGTAACACCTGGTTGTCTGCCCAGAATGCACACAGTTATCCACTAGACTACCGGGAGAAATTCTAGATATGAATATTACTTTTGTAAACTTACTACATTATGCATAGTTGTCCATGGAAAATGTCTCTTGTGTGATGATAAATTGTTGGCAAACTTTTAAAAAGGATACCTTTTGTATGGGCAAGTGCTTTTTATTCTCGAAGATTTGTTATTCGTGACCTTTAGTGGGAAATACTATTTTTGAATTCCTCAAACGACCATCCAGACCTATAACCTTATTCTCAATTTACCATCGCCCATCAAAGAAAAAGTCCTTTCAACACTCCCATATCTTGATTTGACAATAAGTCAACTTTGTTTTTTCACTTAAGTTCTTGACTGATCTTGTATTGGTATATGAACTGTGTGTATTCTGAAGGCAGATATTTCTGTGCTTAGACAAAGTAGACGTCAAAGGTGAAGCCTGCGTAAGCAGACACTATGGCCTTGTCCATTACTTTAATTTGTCTGCACAACTCTCCAGCAGTGTAGCCCCCTGCCTTTGTGCCTACCAGGAAACTGAACCATCCTTGTTGCATCAGTGGGTGTCATTCCGCATCATCAGTACAGAGGACAAAGCTTAGTGTCAGTGTAGGGCTTGTTTCCTGGCGGAATCTTCTTCCTGATTACCAGACTCTCAAACTCAGGACTTGTTTCAGTCTCGATACATTTGAGAACAAAGGCAAAATGTTTCCTGCTTTTCAGGATATTATTTTAAATATTGTTTATTTTACAAGCACAAGGAAATATCAAATTCAGGACGAGGTACGATGGGTGGGGTTGCTCCTTCACAGCTTAATCATAGCTGGAATATAACTGTTAAAGGGGAAGTGTACACGCAAAAATCACTTTCTTTCTTTTTCTAAACAAAACGCAATTTTAGAATTAATTAGTATCTGTGTTTGAAAATATACACTAATTTTTTTTCACAGTGAAAGTAGGAAGCTCACAATAGTGTTAAAATGATATGCCGTTATGAGGCCTTCGTTTTACGAGCGAAATAGGCCTGAGTTATCCCCCTTAGATTATGACGTAATTGGTACCAATTCAACTGGGTCCCTGTCTATTCTCAACGCAAAAGATATCAAGGACCAGTTTGCGGTAAAACAACATGATCTACGACACACTCCGGCGCAGTGGTGACTCAGCATAACACAATTCTGGCTGGCATTTTAGACGCTAGAATCACAAAACTGTACCTACACCACGTGAAGCGGCTCTAACAAAGCATGATGACGTCATAATGTTTATCAATTGGCACCAATGACGTCATATTGCAAGGGGCATAAGCCATGGTGTTTTTGTTATGGAAATAGAACACTTGGTAAATGTGAAAAATATAGATCGTTTTAATGCAAAAAATATGTTAATTAAATATGATGTTTTTATATTTTTGTCTATGACACTTCTATGTTAACACTTTTAATGTGGAAAAAGTACAAGAAAAATTGGTTCATTTCCGTGTGAACTTGCCCTTTAAGGGATAGAAATAAGTCCTTGACTGCTATCCAAATCTGTTTACTTATAAGGGTATACTCTGGGCGGGTAAAATTTGGAACACTTATGGGGCTGTTAGAGGTTTGGCTTATAGAAGTATCTGTGTGCAGTGTTAATATAGGTATGGCTTCACGCTAGTGCATGTGTATACATATATTTATTAATGAATTATATTTGCCATTATTTACATGAACACCCTTTACTTCGGATCTGTAATCCAGTAAATGTTTTTTTTTCTGTATCGATGGAGTAAGGGATGTTCACTACTAACACAAAGACTGACTCTTGATGTGGGACTTGAATTGGATGTGCTTTTGTTGATTTTGCCTGTAGAATGATTTAATTATTTCAATTAAGGCTTGTCTTGTTCTTACTGCCACATCAGGGCAACCGTTTAGAATATCTGCATTCTGACTCCCTTATAAAATATGATGTTTCATCATCCGAAAAATTATGATCGAGAATGAAATGTTGACACTTGTCTCAGCCAGCGTTGCCTGATGTGGTTGTAAGGTGGAGCATGGCGGCTTAGCAGCAGCATCAGCAGCAGCTTTGTGAGCATTTTGTGATGTCCTCCGAGCCAGTTGCTTGCGTTACGTATGTGCGGAACTGATCATTAGTATCTCTCCTTTCTTCTCTTCAGCACATGGGTTTGGTGGTCTGCAAGGTGAGTGTCAAGGTCATATAGCACCACCTACTTCCTGTCCTCCTCACTCAGCACACATGTTGATCGGCATGTCGGATAAAACAACATCTGGAAGTGCAATCTTTAACATGCACAAAATGATTTTTGACATATTGATATTTTTCTTGAAAAAGAATTTAATGGACTAGCGCTTGAAGAAAAGGCTTCATTGCCTCTGCATAGCTTGCAACACTTGCGTCCTCTGTAGACTAATTTAGCAAATTTAGTCTGACTCTCATGTGCCAGACTGGAGTAGAGTGCAGAGATTTAAGCCTGGCAGGGATTAAGGTCAAGATGCAGACTGGAGATGGACTCCAGACCACTCAGGGTCCCTCTGTGGTACTCAGTTGTGCAGTGTTGAGATTGGCAGGTTGTGGCTCACAGCGTACTTTCCAGGTGTCTTGTTGTTCCTCACTAATGTAAACTTCTTTTCTTGTTTCTCTGTTCTCTTTCAGTTCTCCTGCTGTCTGTCTGTCTGTTTAACCTAACTGTTTATTTCCTGTAATCTGTGAGTCTGATGACATTGGTGTGCTGGTGACATTGTGTACTGGTGACATTGTGTACTGGTGTCATTGTGTACTGGTGTACTGGTGACATTGGTGTGCTGGTGACATTGGTGTGCTGACGACATTGGTGTGCTGGTGACATTGGTGTGCTGGTGACATTGGTGTGCTGGTGACATTGTGTACTGGTGTCATTGTGTACTGGTGTACTGGTGACATTGGTGTGCTGGTGACATTGGTGTGCTGGTGACATTGGTGTGCTGACGACATTGGTGTGCTGGTGACATTGGTTTGCTGGTGACATTGGTGTGCTGATGACATTGTGTACTGGTGTACTGGTGACATTGGTGTACTGGTGACATTGGTGTGCTGGTGACATTGGTGTGCTGGTGACATTGGTGTGCTGGTGACATTGGTGTACTGGTGACATTGGTGTGCTGGTGACATTGGTGTGCTGGTGACATTGATGTGCTGGTGACATTGGTGTGCTGGTGACATTGGTGTACTGATGACCTTGTGTACTGGTGTGCTGACGACATTGGTGTGCTGGTGACATTGGTGTGCTGGTGACATTGGTGTGCTGGGGACATTGTGTACTGGTGACATTGGTGTACTGGTGTGCTGGTGACATTGGTGTGCTGGTGACATTGGTGTGCTGGTGACATTGATGTCCTGGTGACATTGGTGTGCTGGTGACATTGTGCACTGGTGTGCTGGTGACATTGGTGTACTGGTGACATTGGTGTGCTGGTGACATTGGTGTGCTGGTGACATTGTGTGCTGGTGACATTGGTGTACTGGTGAACTTGGTGTGCTGGTGACATTGGTGTGCTGGTGACATTGTGCACTGGTGTGCTGGTGACATTGGTGTACTGGTGACATTGGTGTACTGGTGACATTGGTGTGCTGGTGACATTGTGTGCTGGTGACATTGGTGTGCTGGTGACATTGGTGTACTGGTGAACTTGGTGTGCTGGTGACATTGGTGTGCTGACGACATTGGTGTCCTGGTGACATTGGTGTGCTGGTGACATTGGTGTATCGATGACATTGGTGTACTGAAGACATTGGTGTACTGGTGACATTGGTGTGCTGGTGACATTGGTATGCTGATGACATTGGTGTGCTGATGACATTGGTGTGCTGATGACATTGGTGTCCTGGTGACATTGGTATGCTGATGACATTGGTGTGCTGATGACATTGGTGTATCGATGACATTGGTGTACCGGTGACATTGGTGTATCGATGACATTGGTGTGCTGATGACATTGGTGTATCGATGACATTGGTGTGCTGATGACATTGGTGTATCGATGACATTGGTGTACTGGTGACATTGGTGTTATGAATTGATGGTGCACATCCTGTGTTTCAGCTTCTCCTGTTCTGGATTCTAATTCTCTGATAATTGGATGTACGAGTCAGGCTTCCTCTGTGACACGCCCACTCGTTTACCGTGTCTCGATTACTACTGTGTCAAAACCTCACTCTCTCATGAGTGTGTTTAGAGTTTAATCAGTGAATTCATTTCTGATCATGACAAAAGTCCTAGTCCAACATACGTATTGATCTAAGCTGCATCCTCATCAGGATTGCCCTGCCATATATTGATACCAAATTACAGCACACTGACTGTGATCGCTCGGGCTAAATTGAAATATTCTACCAGATACACATTGCTGTAGAATCTGGAATCTGGAATCTTGACCTGAAATCTAAACAAGCACCATGGGTAGATGTTTTGACACAAGCCTGCCTTGGTATATCAATGTTCTTCATATATGTTATTGCTACAGGTATCATTTCCTTTGTTTAGGTGTAAACCCGTTCTCCACTGGGATGCCAGCAATGACTGGATTTGGTCCAATTCCAGGAGCGTACGGCGCTGCCCGTTTAGGTATCCCCATCCAAGCTCAAGTCGGCAGTCCCGTACTCCTTGTCTCCAACCTAGATGAGCAGGTATGTTGTCTCCCTTTCCTAGCTGTCTAACTTGAAAAACTAACTTGTTATATTGGCAGTCTTCTGATTATCTCCCTTACTATGACGTAATTGTACTTGTACGTCTGCTATCGTGTCCTGTACTACTACTGCTGTTGTTGTTGATTTGGTGGAGGTCACTCAGATATAGTATGTTGTCCCACAGCTGTATAATCCAAACCTAGAACTATAACATGTTGAAAACTATTTGTTTGTATTTTTACCTAGTTGTATTTAACAAAAGCTTTCCTTATTGTGATGGAGAAGTAGAGATTGTCGATGTACGTTTTGAGTTGTGGGTCTCCGTCTGGTAGGCACCCTATTGTACATGACACTTCCTGTTAATGTGGGGCATGCTTTTGCTTCTTATTAGCCATCTTTGCTTACCATGTTTATTGGTGTAGGTCGGCTCCACTAGGTGGGGTCAGTACGTTACGTGCATGCCTATCGCATGATTTTGTCTGTCGCTGTTGCCGCCGATCCACCTCTGTTGGTAGCGATGTGCTGATGAGCGGAGGAAGAGGCAGCACTAACAGTGGCGGGAGCACATGTCACTCTCAACTTACTGTCATAGTGAAGCATTAATAATTCTATGTTGTTATGCAGGGCTGGAATTCCAATTCTGTCAGTTCACGAGTCATTTTTGCACCAATTTTGCATTTTCTATATAGGATAGATTTCCTTTCTGTCCACTGATGGAAAAAGCGATGTCAACTGCGATGTTAGATTAGAAACGAGCAACATTGAAGCCGACTCTTATTCTGTGGGTGGATCACTCCCCGTCATCCAAATGCCCAACTGTGAATGTCACAGTGAGACAGACACATGGTCAATTCCAGCCCTGTGTCTTCAGTAATAATTTGCTGGTATCAAATCAGTCATTCGTCACTTCTAATGAAAATGTTCCCATTTTCTTTTTTTCCCCCCGTCCAATCACTGTCCACCACACCCATACATCCATCCACCACTACAATGCTGCCGTACGTCTACTACATCCATCGTGTGGCTGGCTCGTCTATTCTTGGTTCGCCCACTCCGCCTACTCGGATCTACTCATCATCTCTCGTCCATACTACTTCCTGCTGCTGACAATGCTATGCTCTCTGTCTATGTCTACTGTAGACGGTCACGCCCGATGCTCTCTTTACCCTTTTTGGTACGTTCGTTAGCACTCCTCTCACTCTTTATGTAGATCATAATATCGCACAGGAGAGAGATGTAACATTGTAACTGTAATGCTGTATATGGGGCCGTATTACCCACCCTTACACAAATATCAAAGGATCTCACAGTAATATTGCGCTTCGGCAGAGTATTTATGAATGTCTCTCCTTTGAGGTAAATAAATAATTCTGGCTTAAATATTGTTGCATTTCCAGTTTATAAACTTACTAACAATTCTCATGATTTATTTCATTTGTCTAATGTTAAGAGTATGTTTTGTTTCCTCTTCCTATTGTGTGTAAATCCTCCCTGGAGGGACTTTTGTGGAGATAGTTCTTCTTTATATAATTTTGTCAACATTGATAAACCTTGGCTTCGCTTTATATTGCTGCGAGAATGTCTATCCTGTGTCTGTGTGGGACTTGTGTGACCTGTTAGCTGTACTTGCAGGAGTGTATGGGGACGTACATCGGGTGAAGATCCTCTTTAATAAGAAGGATAACGCACTCATTCAGATGGCAGAACCAAGCCAAGCGCAGTTAGGTGAGTTGTTTCATCAATTACAGCATCGTCGTATACCCCTCCAAAACTCTTGCTGAAAGTTTAGGCAAGTTATCTTGAAGCATTCTGGCCAAGATGTATGCTTTTTCTTAAAAACTGGTTTGGAGTGGGTGGTGATAGTGGTCGCTAATGTTGATCAGTATTTTGATGTCGGGAAAGACCAGTTTTTGTTGTTGACCCACATTACACAAAGCGCTAAGATGATCGTAACTCCCTTACTTTAACAAAGACTTACATGAGGTGGAGCATTGGCCCTGGCTGATATGGTATGGTTTGGTGGGATTCTCTGGCAGATAATCTTACAGAACATATCGATCAAGACAGCTTGTGGCTTGACCTGAGACACATTACCCTGTGACATACACAGGGACACCATGTGCTAACTAAGACACCTTCTGAACCAGACTGCCTGCGTGGTCTAGTGGTGGAGCATCCGCCCAGAGAGATGAAGGTCGGGTTTTGATCCCTGACCGTGTCATACCAAAAGATGTTAAAAGATGGTACTTGTTGTTACCCTGGTGCTCAGCATTTAAGGGGCTAAAACAAGGACTGGTCGGCTCGGAGTCAGTATACTGTGTCAGAGTTGGGTATCCGTATGAAACTGCGGCATGGTATCACAGTTGGCTACCACTATAAATTGGTATCAGTGCGGACTAGTACAAACAGCCATCATGTCTTTATATAAGTGCATTAATCTTGGATGCAACGTTTAACCACATTTCCCTCCCCTTATTCTGTTACAAGTGTACAGTTTCAGATTCTGGTTTGTCCATTAGTCACTCCATGGCTGAAATACTGCCGATATGACGTTAAATTTAAACTCACTCACTGCTAAGTCAACAGACTTATCTTTGTCAAAATTGGTGTTTTTGTCAATTATGCAAGACCTCCGGATCCAACTATTCATGTTAAACTGCGGCATGGCATCTCAGTGGGCTTGCTCTTCAAAATTGGCATTAGTTCGGACTAGAACAAACAGCCACACACATACGTTCATGCATGTCGCTATAAAAGGGCAGTGATCTTGGATGCGACGTTAAGCTCCATTTCACCACCACATATGAAACACTTTGTACCCAGAAAGTGTTATAGCTGAAGCCCCATGCAACCATGTATGATAGCCACATACCAGTGCCACTGATAGACATTATGGGAGAAATTTAAAGGGTCTTTCTCATTTTGTCCTGTTAATACCTCAGGAGTTAGATTTAAAATTTACTACTCAAAAGAAGTAGAAGACTCACAATTGGAAGGCTGTGTGTTGAAATACCCACCAGCCATCTCAGATTAACTAATGTCAGCCTCTTTTGAGTAGTGTAATACCTTGAACACTCAAGACTCGTATCCTCTATAAATAGGAGATAGCATTTTGATTTGGGGGGGGCACGGGTGGCCCAGTCGTCTAAGGCGCCGTGATTCGCTGTGCAGAGTTGCGTCCCGTGGACATGCCAGAAACCTATGATTGTGGGTTCGAATCCCGGTTCGCCCCGATTATGTTTCTAGGTTGTCAGCACCATACCTGTGCTCGTGGGTTTCACCAAAGTGGTAAACGTCTGAGACCTGCATCACTTCAGGCTTTCCTCCCACATTAAGCTGACACGCCGCGATATAACTCGAATACTGTTAAAAGCGGCGTTAAACACAACTCACACACACATTTTTATTTTTTTTAAACTATTTGATATGATAGTGCTGGAAACCACAAGGCCGCATGTGTGAGAAGTCCTCCTTGCACAGTGAGGCATCATGTGTCCCTGTGTGGAGCTTTGGGGAGAAACGCAAACACCCTGTTGGTCCTCAGTGAACAAGGGTGTTCGGTTCAGCTTTAAGTGAAACATTTGCCAATTGTTGAATGAATTAAGTGTGCAAGCAATGTATTTCTCCATAAAAAAAATATGAAAACAAATCAGTTTAGGCAAAGAAAATAGATGCTCCTTCCAAAACTACATCAAACTGTGAGCTGCGACAGTAGCATGTCATGTTGGGAGTTGTGGACATTGTGACTTGTGTGTGACTTGTGTGTGACTGCGGATGTTTCTGCCTGCAGCGATCACGTTCCTGGACAAGGTGAAGGTGTGGGGGAAGACAATCCGGGTGGCTCAATCCAAGCACTCCGTCGTACAGATGCCCAAGGAGGGACAGCCTGTGAGTAGAACGATTCCATTCAAATGTCGCCCAACTACAGTAAATCTTTGAGTTTCAGTAGCATGCCATCAACAGATCCTGTTATTTTGTTCTTTTTTTCCTTAATGTTTTGAAATGTTTTCTTGATGACAACTCAGACATGAATTGTTTGATAGGCATACTATGAAGTTGACGGATGGTAAAGTAGACACAATTTATGGATAACAACTTCTTTAATACTGTAAAGGCGACGTTTCGGTATAGATCCTTGTAACCGTTGTCAGTCTTACTTGAAAACGTTTTTAAGGATCTATACCAAAATGTCGCCTTTACAGTATTAAAGAAGTTGTTATCCATAAATTGTGTCTACTTTGTGCTCAGACATGATTTGCATTTAATGATGGCAAATGAAACAATAGACAAATCTGTTCCCAGTATTTAAGTGCTAAAAGAAATAAGTTTGAAAATGTTTTGGTTGGTCTGGCAGACTCACAAGGGTAGTTAATTTGTGTAGGGATGTGCTTTTGGCCTTCCCTGTGTGTTGTGTAGTGTTGTGTTGTGTTCTGTTAGATGAGTTTGTGGTCTTGTGTGTTGCAGGATGCTGGTCTGACGAAGGATTACGTCAACTCCCCTCTCCACAGGTTCAAGAGACCAGGATCCAAGAACTGTCAGAACATATTCCCGCCATCTGCAGTGCTACATTTATCCAACATTCCGTAAGTGGAGAAAAGTTAATCTCAGTGCAGTCATGTGCCTTAATAAACGTGTTGTCATTGTATGGAGGCAGTATGGAAATGGGTTATGACTGTCCGTGTTGTGAATTTGGGGGAATAGTGCTATGAACTGCATGCTGGACGACAGTCTTTGAATGCTGATACTATTGACTCGGGAAGAGAAGGTCTTCTGCAACCCATGCTTGTCGGAAGAGGCGCCTATGCTTGTCTAAGAGGCGACTAATAGGATCGGGTGGTCAGGCTCTGTGACTTGGTTGATGCATGTCATTGTAATTGAGTAGATCGATGCTCATGATGTCAATCGCTGGATTGTCTGGTCCAGACTTGATTATTAACAGACCGCCGTCATATAGCTGGAATATTGCAGAGAGCGGCGTTAAACAACAAACAAAACACAGTGATATAACAGTAATACGATCTACTCATTCGTTACTTTGTTGCTTGCAGAAAAGACACAGAGGAAGGGGAAATCACTACAAAGTTCGCCGAGCACGGAGCTGTTAAAGCATTCAAGTTTTTCCCGTAAGTACCAGCGGCATGCTTATGGCACACTCATAATTATTACACACAAGTGTCACTTTGCATATCAACGCATTGATGATATTGGTCACACTACTTGTCAACACGTTTTTACGTTAAACCAGTTGTAAAACAGTTGAAACCAAAATACATGTATATGTTTGAGTACATTTACTAAGTCAGTAGCTAGAATATTGCTGAGTGCATCGTTAAACAACAAACAAACAAGCAAACAAACAAACTAAGTCAGTATGTATTGATAATAATGGCTTGCAGTGTTCTATCACATTCAGTAAATGCTGCTTTGTTTGTTTTCAGGAAAGACAGAAAGATGGCCTTAATCCAGATGGGCTCTGTGGATGAGGCAGTCATGGCTTTAATAGTAAGAACAGTTTTGTAATGGACCATATGACAACCTAGCTTCTAATCGAAGGGCAACTGCCAAGTTGTTCTATCAAATCTTCAGTTTACTGATTACCTGACCAACTTGCTGCTTCCAAAAATCGCTAAAAAATCAGCCGTTATAAGATGTGAAATGTTCATTTTTGTTTCTAATAATGTCTCGAAAGTTCTGTCATTCTTGTTAAATTTCTCCCACAAAGGATAAAACAGAAGATGAAATCTAGCAGCTTCATTTAATCCCAAACATTGTATCACATTTATGAATGAGGATATTAGTATTCCCTGTAACGTTAGCTGAAATACACTGTGATAGTTTGTGTTGCCTGCTGCGTCTGCTTGGCAAGGATAACATCACTGATCATCTTCTGTTTGTTTGCAGGCTATGCACAACTTCCAGATGGGAGAAAACAGCCACCTGAGAGTGTCCTTCTCAAAATCCACAATTTAGAATTCAGTCTGCGCCATGATACAAATGTGACTTTGACCATGTGATCACTGGATCAGCTGCAGAGACTAAGATAAATTTTTAAATGTACAAACTATGGAAGTAGCAGACGCACGCCTGCCTGTTGCGTGGAGCTAGCTCCCATTGTGAGAGGAGTTTCTGCCCTGTTGACTCCGGGGGTCAAGTGCCTTCGACATGATTAACAAACGCTGCAGCTTGGTGATCAACTGGTCCACCTTTGCCTGCTGCGTGGTTGTCGGACAGACAGAATGATGGACAGATGAACCAAAGCAGCGTCTGCTCTACGGGTTTGAACAGTTGGATCTCTGCCTCCATTAGTAGTGTCGTCTGTCACACCACGATCACCAACACAACACTGGTTGTCATGGTGACGAGCAGGCGACAGGGAATGTGCATTATGTTCAGTCATTGGCTGTCCTTGTGTTCCCACACTACCTAGCGTTAAAACAGCCGCGACCGGCCAGAGTGAATTTGGCTTTTCTCGAGACAAGATTGAAGCTATGTTGTTTGCAGTGCATAAGAAAAGGCAGCAAATTCATTGTACTGTTTTGCATTGTTTTGTCAATTTGAGAGAGAATTATATTTTAAAGAGCTCATAATATAGTAGCGTTTATATCCAACCATTAGCGTACAAAACAGTGTGGTCACGGTTTTTGGTGCACACTTGTAGAACTTAGGCTAAAAGTCTGCTTACGGAACTCTTCAACACTAGGGGTCACTCAGATCTTCTTGTGTTGCCATAGCAACAGAGTCTGAAGACATGTCCTGCAACATACAACTAGAGAATGTTGGGTATTGCTTGCCCACGACCCTTGTACGGAGATGTGAAACACAGGTTATGTTGTCGTTAGTTACTGTTTCATCCTGAAGTCTAGTCGCCTAGTTGAGACCAGGACCTGTCGTCGGAAACTACCTCACGAGATGGCCTCTGTGACGCTGCTGTTGAATTGTTCCTCAATCAGTTGTTATTATTATTTCCTACTTGCATAATCAATGTTCTCGTGTTCGAATGTTTTACAAATAAAGTATTTGGTGGGGGGGTTACGCTTAAGCAGGCTTTTAGCCAGGTTTTATTCTCAGAAATCCATTTGTTTGTGATAGACGAAACCAGGGCTGCACTGTGCGATACGCTGCCGGTAGTTTATACCCCTCAGAGCTTCAGCAGGTGTCAGAAACTCTGGGCTATCAGCCCTTGTTTCATGGCAATCAAGATAACCTCCCTTGTTCCCACGTTCCTGGTTTGGGGCGGCCATCTTGTTTGTGTGTGAAGCAGACGACAGGGCGAGATGTTGATATACATGTTTCTTTTTTATCCCATGGGTCAGCTGTTTGGTAGTGTACTGATGATCACTGTCGTTTTGCCGGTAGATTAGGCCATGATTTTGTAAGTTCTATTTTTGCATTTCTGGTGTTATGATCAAGTATACTGAGGTTTCGATATATATTTTTGCATTTTGAGAGTTACTATTGTATGGGGAATTTATTTTACATGTGACTACCAGGGTGATGATTGTTGGTGTCTCGTTGTCGTCTTGTCCAAGTCAAGAAAGTAATCATTAAAAATTATGTGACTATGTGATGAATGTTGCCATGGCAACTGCCTTGTCATGGCGGGATGGCCCAGTTCGTGTTACGTTCGCTACCCAGCATTCCACAAGACATGTGGCCGCGAGACTTGCTAAGTTGCCATTGTTATTATAGCATGCGCACTCCGTCACGGGATGTGTGCGTTGGTGCCCCACGACAAAGTGCTGTAGATACGCCCTTAGCCTCTCCTTGCTGCTAGCGATAACAACTTTGTAATTTCCTGATTGATTGTATCTCCTTGTTTCTCTGTATCTGTAGTGAGTGTTTTATCTGTGTATTTCTCAGTTGATCTATCCATAAGTGTAAATCCTTAATGAATCAATTTTCCATATCTTCTGACCATCTATTGTAGTATTCTTATATTGCCTTGTAGTCCCTTCTGATGAAAGTATCTGGGAATATTGTCAACTCCGATGTTGTACAGCGAGGTCTCTGCCCAAGTGGAATTAGAATTGGTTTCTATTGTATCATTTGACCTTTCTGCAAGTAGTATTTTCAAATTGGACACTGATCTTGGGCATTGATTTTGAGATTATTTTGATTTGAGTCCCAATTAGTTTTAGCATTTGGCTTTGAATTTGAACATGTATGAACTCGCTGTTTGAAGAACATGTGGCTTACATCCTCTGGGAAGAGAAGAGAGGTTGACCGGCAGAGCTAGGTTCAGGTTGGGATAAATTCAAGGAACATCCTTGTTTAGTTGATGCACATGTCCTGATCTGAAATCCACCTACGCGGCCATTGTTTGACATATTTCCATATTCTTGGTGGCGGTTTTCACTTAATGTTGGCTCGGGCCTGGAGCAGACGACAGTTTTAATGATCAACAGCTTTTGTACATACTGAGTCTCCAGAACGGAACTGTTCAGCCTCCGCCTCCTCCTCCATTTGTAGTTGCTACTTTTCTAAGAATGGTCAATGGCAGGACAGGGTGTGTTTGTTTCAGAACGGAGATTTTATATTTGTACTTTTATACAAACTAACTCTTTTGGTAGGTGAAGATGAGAAGATGTAACCATGACAACCATTGATTCATTCATGACATCAGTCTGTGTTTGGAACCAATTCTGTCTGTAGAAATTATTGAGGTGATCTGTCCAAATTAGAAAAAAAAATTAGTCCCCTCTCTGAGATCTGAGCCAGGCCCATGTCGACCTATCAACTTGTTATTAGGGAAATCTATTGACAATGTCGTGATTCATACAGTCATTTGCATATATATATTTACAAATTCTATATATTATGTACGTCGTATTACTACCCCTCGTCTCAGATGGGGGAACCCCCAAGATCTGATTCGTCTTGCATAATGCCAGACGGGTTCTTTTGTGCCTAACATTGATGGGAACAACATAAAACCAGGCTGTTTTGAAAAGTTTTTATCTCTTATAAATGCTTTTTTATTTATTGAATTCTACCTTGGGCCCTTTGTTTTGAGGCGTCCCATTGTTATTTACAAGCCTCTGATGTTTGAAAAGTTCATAATGTATCCGTTAAGAGAAACAACTTGTATTGCGCAATCTGAAGATATTAAAGTACAATTTTGTAATAAAACGATAATATTTGTCATGCACCGATTTAATCTAGACGCAGCAGCAGCCCTTGAGCCTGATTGGCCAACGCCAATGTGTAATGCACGTATATAAATGTTTCAACGTCAAACCACGACACGGGTGCTGCACTAGCAAGACATCTATCTGTTGTTTCTATTGAGCTCGCTGTAGTAATAGTTGATAACGACTTTCTGCGCACTCTTCCTGTGGTGCATCACTTCCTGTCAACTGGCCGTAGTGTAGTGTACATGTAGCTTGGTACATACGTACATACGTCTTTGTCACTAATAACCTTTGTACTCACCTTGTGCTGACATTAAATCCCTGGATGTGGGACAGAACACTCTCAGCTGTCGTCTTTCTTTCTTCTCTACCTCTGTCATTGCTGCTACCTCCATTCGCCTCTCACAACCAGCTAGTTAGAACCAGTTAAAGCCAGATGTAGCAACTGGACAACCCACACCTTGAAGGTTTGGCGTCTGCCGTATTGGCAGCAGATGTTATCACACTCATTGCCTTATGGGAGAACTTTTGGATGATAATGAATTGTTTTGTATAAATGTTGCAAGTGACATTGAAACGTGGCCTTGCATTTGGTTTGGGATGAAATTGATAAATATCTGTCCTTTTTGGCATGATTCTTCCTGGCAATGAATGTGATGGTGAGCTATCTCTCTCTGTATATATTTATCTGGCGCTGGGTGACGTCTGCTTCAACTGTCATGATAAAGCCTCGCTGTTTGTTGTCTGCATGGCTACCACATCACCTCCATCAGTTTGGTAACACCGTTATCATGGACCCTTCATACCGACACATGAATGGTCCATGGCACACCAGCTTCCCCGATCTCCATGGCAACACTGACAACATGGACCCTTCATACCGACTCATATGAATGGTCCATGGCACACCAGCTTCCCTGATCACCATGGCAACACTGACAACATGGACCCTTCATACCGACACATATGAATGGTCCATGGCACACCAGCTTTCCCGATCACCATGGTAACATTGACATCATGGACCCTTCGTATTGAACATCAGCTTCCCTACTCCACACCTGTACCCAACACTACCCTGCACACACCTGCTTCTATAGGACAACTGTATTTGACAGCCATGGGCGACAGCTACCTGCTTGTGACTTTCACAACCTAAGAAAGTATTATCCTGCGGAACACAGGAATCGGATGTATATTATGATAACAAGCCAGTGCCCCATTCCACAAAGCAATCGTAGCGCTATCGTAAGTCTATGCTGAAGTATGGGAGTTAGGATTGCTTTTGTTGGCACGATCACTTTGAACGGGGTCCAGGCCAAAATGCTTGTTTTAACCAAACTTTATCTGGAGTGGGAGATTTTTTAAGTGGATTTTCTATCCGTGAATGTTTTACTTGTCAAGTTTAACCCGTAAATTTGTGAAAGACCTTCCCCAAACTTGACAGCCCTCTCCAACTTTGGACTGACCTTAACCTTGGTTCTATGAAATTTAGGGTCCCGAGGCTCACAATTAAATTCACTGAGATGCCTAGCAATATGTATCACACGTTGACCAAACAACTATAAAAGGTGGTAAACTAGGACTCTTTAGAATGAGTGAACAAACTTATTGCCTTAGCGTATGGTATTACTGGTCTTATGGTACGACAGTTCCATGGTAAGACTGGCCTCATGAAGCATTCTTTGATAGATGAATGTGGGTACAGGAAACTACTTATCTTCAAGTTAAACAAAGTTCAACAGTCCATAAAGTAAGTAATCAGATATATTTTGTGATGAAGAGTTAACTGCTCTTTCTTGAAAATATTTTATTTTGAATAAACTTAAGCAATTACAGGAATTTATTTTATTACTAAAAACAGATTACACAAGTGTTTATGCATAAAGTAGTTGTACGTTCTCAAACTTAATGCTTAAAAAGAACCATAATCATAAAACAAAGGTTAAACTTTTGAAACATTCTCAAAAGAAGTTGAAAGAACACTCAATTCTTTAATATCAATATTGTTAATCTGTCGTATGATAGATTAACTACAGTAAAAAGAATCTGGTGTTCTTTAACTTCTTTTGAGTGGTATATATCAATGTTGGTCCATTTTTCTGAGCAAATTGACCATACAAGAGTGAGTGAGCAAGTTGGGTTTAAGCCACATTTAACAGTATTCCAGTTATATCACGGTGCTTAATGTGGGAGGAAAGCCGGAACTAATGCAGGTCTCGGACACTTACCACTTCGGTGAAACCCACGAGCACGGGTATGGTGCTGACAAACCTAGAAACATAATCGGGGCGAACCAGGATTAGAACCCACAATCATAGGCTGCTTGCGTGCCCAAGGGACGCAACTCTGCACAGCGAATTGCGGCGCCTTAGACGACTGGGCCACCCGTGTCCCCCGCCTGACCATACAAGAAGACCATACACATACATGTTTCTCACAAATGACAATGTTACAGCCATGTGGTTAAACAACCACTCACTTGTCATGCTGAAGACTAAGGTTTGTTTCCACATATGGTGAGGTGAAAGTGGGTTTAACGTTGCGTCCAAGATTATTGTACTTATATAGCGATGGTAGACGTATGCAGATGCCGATTTATAGTGCTAGCCCACTGAGATACTATGCCGCAGTTTAACATGAATACCCCACTCAGACACAGTATACTGATTCTGAGCCGACCAGTCCTTGTTTTAGCCCCCTAATGCCGTGTGTGTCTGCATGCGTGCGCGCGCGCACTCGCGAACTCATCAGTATCCCAGCCATATAACGGCAGTATCCAGTGATTGATATTATTGATCTACGATGACACACAAGTCACTGAGTTATGACCTGTGAAGATCCGGGTTAGAATTAGTCTTCAGCAACCCGTGCTTGTCTTAAGAGCCACTAATCGGGTCGGGTAGTCAGGCTCACTGACTTGGTTCATGCATGTCATCGTATCCCAATTGCGTGGATTAATGCTCATGATATCAATCTTTGGATTGTCAAGTCAATACTTGATTGTTTACAGATCGCTGTCAAAAAGCTGGAATATTGCGGAGTGCAGTTTTAAACAATACACAAACAAACAAACGATCACTGAGCTTGACCACCCGACACTGACTGCCAACATAGGGAACCTACTCAACCTGAATCCCCTGCAGGAGTGTTATGAAGTGTCCACTGAAGTATGTGCAGTTATCTTTCAGAACAGGACACGACCCGAAGGACGGCCTAGTGATGAAAGTGTTTGTTTATCATGATGAAAAGAGTTCAATTACCCATATGATACAATGTGTGCAGCTCCTCCTTGTCATAAAGACGTCAAAGATGGTATTTGTTCCCCTGTCTGGCATTCAGCATTTAGAGGATTAAGCAAGGACTGGTCTGCTCTGTCCGTTTAGTGTGAGAGGGGTGTCCATGTTTAACTGCAGCATGGTATCTCAGTGGACTAACACTAACTGTCATTTATCCAGACTGATACAAGCCCTCACACACATACAAGAACACACACACAAGCAAGCCCTCACACACATACAAGGACACACACACATACAAGAACACACACACAAGCAAGCCCTCACACACATACAAGGACACACACACATACAAGAACACACACACAAGCAAGCCCTCACACACATACAAATACACACACACAAGCAAGCCCTCACACACATACAAGGACACACACACAAGCAAGCCCTCACACACATACAAGGACACACACACATACAAGCAAGCCCTCACACACATACAAGGACACACACACATACAAGAACACACATACAAGCAAGCCCTCACACACATACAAGGACACACACACATACAAGAACACACACACAAGCAAGCCCTCACACACATACAAGGACACACACACATACAAGAACACACACACATACAAGGACACACACACATACAAGAACACACACACAAGCAAGCCCTCACACACATACAAGGACACACACACATACAAGGACACACACACATACAAGAACACACTTACAAGGACACACACAAGCAAGCCCTAACACATACAAGGACAAACACACATACAAGAACACACACACACACTCACACTTTTGTAGGTACAGAGATATTTTTTATGAAACTTCAGGACAAATGTGTACAATATTTTACATTAATTAAGCGACATTCACATCCTGTCGTAAGAGGCGACAACGGGATCAGGTGGTCAGGCTTGCTGACTTAGTTGATGCAAGTCATCGTATTCCAATTGCGTGAATCAATGCACATGTAAGCATTACATGCAGTAATAATCCAGTCCGTGGGGGTCCTTGGAAACAATGTGCCACTCTATCTATATGACAGAACTTTTAATTCCAACATATCAAACAATCATTCACAATTAGTCAGAAAGTCAAAAGTTCCTCTCTTTAAAACAATGTAATTGTAGGCCTTTCTACTGGGAAACCTTCCTCTCCATAATATTTTGTTGTTTAACACCGCACTCCGCAATATTCCAGCTATATGACAGTGGCCTGTACATAATTGAGTCTGGACCGGACAATTCAGGGATTGATATTGTGAACAACGATCTTCACCGTCGGGTATATCATGCCATCAACCAAGTCACCAAACCTGAGCACCCATGTGGTCGCATCTTAGGAGGGCACCTGTTGTAACCCAGGATGCCCAAGAGGTCTCTCTGCAGATCCTATACATGCCTGGATCCCAGTAATGAGAAAGACTTACCCTTCAAAACTCCAGACTAGGATCGCAATCAACTCCAAGTAGTTGCAAACACCAGTATTATTCATACAGACAATTTATGATCAAGTTACATTCAATTATCTGTCCTTTATTTGGAGAAAAAAGGTGATTTCCTCTCAAAACATGATATTCCAGACGATTCACTGATATCAGACAGCTTGTCAGGCCTCCCAAGTTACAGCCTCACTGAAGATAAGAGCAGAGCTACAAGTTTATGACTCCAACAAACTGATGTTTCAGACTTATTGTGTACTGACATTATCCTGTGATGATGACATCAGTGATATTCTGTCTGGTATGCGACCAGTCACCGTCTCCTTCGTATGAACCCAGGTCAGAAGCTGAAGAGATCAAACTCATGACCGACAGAAGGATTGGCAATACCTTTCATGAATGGAATTTGCAAACAATTTTTATTGATCATGCTTTTCCTAATGTTCACGGTGGTTTTACTGTATTTTAAGTCTTTTTATAGCTTTGGTAGCTTCTATAGCTTAAGAAGTTTGGTTTGTTTTTTGTGTTTAATGCCTCACTCAACAATTTTCTAGCTATATGACAGCGGTCTGTAAATAAGTGAGTATGGACCAGACAATCTTGTGATTGATGTCATGAGCTTCAATCAACACAAAT